CTTCTCCTGATTTTCAACTCGTCTGACAAACTGCCCATGAAGCTAACCAGCTAAACTGCTATTTAACAGAAGGAATAGCTAGTCTTATTTACCTTGAATGGCTTTTTTATTTTATGTAAGCCTCTACAACTGTTTTTTACAACTTGTATTACTGTTCTACTTTAACAGTAATAATCTACACCCTATTCTACAATAATGTGAGGAAAAATATACAAGAAAAATTGCTTACACATTCTGGCTGCAACTTTGAGATTGTAAAAAAAATTTCCAATTGCCCTTCTCTCCACGTTAACAAATTCTTCATATTCCCCATTTCTTTGTGCCAGTAACAAATGATCTCATCTTTGACTAGGCTCAGGCAAACATTTCACCTACTGTTTTATAAAAAGTCACTAGTACATAAATGTACTACTCCTAATTTACAGAATTAGCCAAACATGGAGCAAATGCCATCTCTGGGTGGACCCAGTTCCCGAGTAAGCTGCTTTTGAGAATACATTACGACTTCATTGCCTGGAAGTTTTTGCACGATGATTTTGAGTCACCAAGAGAATACCTTCATAATTCTTTAAGGGATTACCTAACACTTCAGCTTTCAGACAAAATTTTCCAAGATACCCATTTATACTCTTGTGCTAGGAGGTATTAATAGCATTGATCAATCAATCTGGCAAAAGCTAAAGGTGGTATTAAATATCCTTCAGTCTGGCTAAGGGAGGGAGTTCCTAAGTGCTTATTTTTTACTGATAGCTGATGTAAGAAGGCATGACTTCTTGTTATCCAGCAAGACAAGCCTGAACGCAACCAATGCAATCACCCAGAGCTTAACTACCAATTCAATAACCGCAGCAATGACTTGCTACAACCAATATGTGTCTGAAAACGTGCAAAAGACTATAGGGCACAGAGACTATGAGCAGACAGCAGGAACAGAAATAGTTCATACCATGTAAGGGAATGAGTGAAGAGTTTCAGTACTGAAGAATGCAGTTCCCAGAACCCAGCGAGCATAAGGCAGGCATGGCAGAGTACTTGTGTGTGAAGAGGCACCACCTGGAAGTCCCTGCACCCACAAACTCTGCCCTAGGCTCCCTAATCTTCTCATCTGACTTGAAGGTCAGGGAGAGAGTTTGTGAGCAGCAAAAGTAATGAGACCTGATTTCTTATGGAATTATGTGTTTTGTCCCTTAATCTTCTGCTGTCCACCTTCTCCATAAAACACCCACTGGGCAAGGCTGAGGTTACTCATATTCTAATTAGCCAACACGGTATGAAAAAAACACTTGGCTGGCTGGTTGCTGCAGAACGTGATCTGCAGTTCATATGTCTGCCTTTACCTCAGCAAGGGCATTAATTTTGCTTTCCCCTCCATTAAACTACCTCAACTTTTACAAAACTTGTAAAAGCTTAATTATTTCCAAGACCACAATCCTCTGTGAAATATGGCCCAAATTTGCTATCAGGTTCAAAAATTACTTTGGAAAGAGGAAGAGGATGGGGACCAAAAGATAGAGACTGCGTGCTATTTTTTTTTTCTTTAGAAATAGAATCTGATTTTGTAAGGGCAAACTGCAATACTATATGCTTAAATCTTGCAGAAAGCTACAAACTCATCAGCAGAAAATAAAAGTAATGGATTAAAAATTGGTTCTCTTATTCAATTGCAAGGTGACAACAATCCTTAATATGATCTGAAAAACAAATGCAATCCTAGAACGTAGTAGTTGAGGAACTTCCAGAAGATATGAAAACTATTAATGCCATTGTAAACAGTCCTGGTGAAATGTCCTTAGAAATAGCGTCAAATCTATTTAAGAAAAACAAGCTCAGACTGGAACACTGGCAAATATGTGATACAAAGATGGTAAGAGAAATTAAGAACTTGCAGGCTGAGACTAGAAGAACTAAACTTGTTTAGCCTAGCAAAGTGCAATCCAAGAGAAAATATTCTAGCTCAGAAACTGGGTGTAAAATCTAAGGAGGAAAAGTAGCCACTGAAAATAAGGTAAAGGACCAGTGTTTGTGCAAGAACAAATAGACACGAACTAGTTATACAAATTGAAGTTAGAAATTAAATCAGATGGTTTCTAGTCTTCAGAAGAGTTAGAGCAGTCTTCTATGAGTACAGCTGAGCTCCAAACTCAGTATTTGCCCACCACAAAGAAGAAAGGGGAAAAGCACCTCCAACCTCTAGACCATCCATAGCCCTTTAGCTTCCAATACCAGATCCCAGCAGCATCCCTTGCTGCTGGCTTGGAGGACGTGTTCTGCTTTTTCATTTTTTGACTTATCTGTCCCCGCGGCATGTGCCACTGGTAACTAAGCCTAAGCTAGTTAGCGAAGCTCCTTTTATGGCCGGTGGAGATGCATACTCTTTGAGGGCAAATCATCCCATTTATCTTAGCCACTGAAATATCTTCTTGCTTGCTTGCTGTTCAGTGGAACAGAGTGATCTCATTTAGGAATTCTATTTCTTACTCCACCGACTTCTTGCTTAAAATACTCAGCTCTGTGTGAAAACTCACTGTCTTCACTCCCCACCACCCATGGTAGATCATACTTCTACTCCCTTTCACATTTTGCTGTTTGCACCTTCTGCCCATCAAATTCAACTTTTTAATGATCATTATTTCAGTAAAAAGAAGAGATTTAACCCATTCTGGAAATGCCTTCATACATAGTATTCCATAAAGAAAAGAAATTGCATTAAGTCTTTACCCAGGCTTTTTACTAAAAATGCTTTCATTTTCACCTAATCAAATGATTCATTTTCTATCTTCTCAAAGTTATGCAGTGAAACAAGAAAAGCCAATGCTATTCTTAAGTCATTATAGTGCAGACTGCATGTACTTATCTGTAGTTACTGCTTGAAAGTTTAAGTAAAATGTATATGGACAATCATCTCCATGAAAAAAATGTATTAATCCCACACTGTTATTCTTTGAGATACATCCCACACACATACCATGACCTTCCTCATTATTAGAGGTTTCTTACCTAGCTGAGCTCCGAGTTGGTAAAATAACTCTTGGCTATGTTAACTCTATGTTGTTGGGACAGCTGGTTACTTCTGTTGGACTGTCCTTGAAAGGATTATTTTCCTAAGCCTTCGGAAGGACACATATACTGGAAAGCTGAACCTAGCTTCCTAACCTCAGCCAGTGTGCAACAGGTAACCATTCCTTCCTAGGTCAAATCTAAGCCCATTTTTATCATCTGATAGGTATTCTGGCAGACCCAGATAATGAAACTGGGGGGGGATTTATGGGTGGGAAGTTGGGAAGAACAGTTCTTATCTGCCTAGTGGCACAAAAGAGGAGAGAGGCAGGTGGGAGTGGAGTAGCAGCTTTGCAACTTAAAAATCTGTCCAGAGTGATAGCTCATTCAGATTATGGATCAAGAATATGACTGGGGAAATAATACCAATTTCCATTCTGTGTTTGGGGTGCTTTATTTGCATGTTTATAGTGTTGTGTTGCCCTCAGTATATGAAAGGACCTTACTCATTGGCACTGTCCATGCATATTTCCTTTACTTCTTTCACGAAACACTAATTTCACATTACATTTTCTTTAACAAAAAGCATTTCAAGCATGATCTGTCACACTGCCTCAAGAACTAAAAGTGGTCAATGTTAACCTTATTAACTAAAGCTGTTTTCTTATAACAACTGAAAGCTAATGAAAGGTTTAAGCTATACTGCCTAAAATTCAAGCTAATTCAGGTATTTAGTGGTCTTCATTTAAACTCTAGTGTAAATTAACTCTAATCACTACATTATTTAATTCCACACCAAAAACATATAGCCCATTTTATTAGTTTAAATGTAGCTTCTCTTACCTTCTAATGAGACATGTCCTACCCTGTTAGCCTCAGCTTCCCTCACTCCACAAGCCCCCACACGCCACCCTGCTCACAAGCCTCCCAAGTAGCGCTAACTGCCACAAGCCTGACCCCTCTGTAGGCTCCCAGCCCCGCTTCCCAAGTCAGAAATGTGAGTTTTCCCCAGTGCAAGCCCTATTAAGGCACCCCTACCCCAGCACCACCGGATTTTGAGGGATACTGTGGATAACGAGGTGCCGCCGCAGCAGCAACCACCCATCGCACTCGTCCACCTGCTCTCCGGGGTTCAACACCTTCGGCCTTCCCCTCAGGGTATCACCCTCCGGGGCGCACCTCCATGGCCTGCACCCGCAGCCGCCACACCAGGCTGCACGTCCAAGGAGGCGGGACCCCCGGGG